CACGAACTACTGTTCGAGCTGCGAATAGATAACTGTATACTCTAATCATCTATTCGCGGAAAACTCACTTACAAGTTTTAAGACGGCGCGCTCTTAACATGACGGTTTAAAGCTAAATTGGAGGCCTAAATTGGACGTGGAGATATGTGAAGATAATTTCTCTTGCACTCGTGGAAGATTAAGAACCTGTTTATGAGCTCATGTATTCGAAGTTGTTAACTCGTTCGAGCACTAGAAAACTCTATTAATAAAATAAAATAAATAATAAATTGATAGCTCCTCCTCCTCATTTTCTCGGTCAGAAAACGATGAATTTGAAAATACTAAAATTACAACTTCTCAGCAAAAAATTTAGCTTAATCTTTCAGATGTCCAGGTTTCATAAAGAAACATCAATTACTTGGTTGCACGGATCTCTTTTAATAACAACATCGAAGAATACGTTAAGTTATGAACATAGCAATACGCTAAATATTATACATCTTACAGTAGTCATAGTATTATAGACATGCGGTATTTTTAAGCAATCCTTAATAGAGCATCAAATCGTGACTTGCTTCTTAATTATAAAAATAGAATGCTGTCCACTGTTCTATTTTTCTAAATATTTATCCTCTTATTACGGGTACTGCTTAAATTACAGTTATTTTTAACTTAAGACTTACTCGGGATACATTCTGAATAGAATTTTTTGTCACAAACTATTGTTGTTTAGCCGAAGTTTCGTTGTTAACGTTAGTCATACATGAAGCTATTACTTTATTTCTCATAAAAAAGTACCTGGTAGAATATGCTTTCTCTGTCGGCTCAAAATTTGCTAGTAATTCTGTTAGGTTTTCAGTTTTTAGATATTTTTGATGTTTTTTAAGGCATCTGACCCTAACAACTTGGTAATAAGACACATGTTTGAAAAGCATGTTTCCATGAATTTACCATTTGAATTTACAAGCTGCCAGTAGATAGATATTTTAGGTTAAATTAATTGTCATCTTGTGCAATAAAATATTTATGGTCTAAAGATATTTTTCCTCCGTAGCCAATTTTAATAACGGCTGTTCTTTGCCCAACCAAAGGCGACCATAGGTAATAGTAAAAGTTAGCAGCATTTTTACCTTCCACCCTAGTGTTAGTGTTGGTGTTAGTTCTATTGAATAACACGCCAACATAAATTTGTTTCCTAATTTTTCTAAACTTAGTACAATTTGGATCCTCTTCGTAACCTAAAGCCTTCCTTATTTTGCCGTTAAATTTCAGTAAATATGTTCATGTGTCCGGAAACATTTTTTTAAGGTTATTAATAATGTATAAATACTACCGGCCCCGGCGTTTTGCTGAAAGTTTATAACCTTAACCCTCAAAAGTGGAGACATTAATAAATTTTTTGTCCTTACATATAGTGAAATTACTAACTACCACCAAAACTTTATCAAAGTTTGCTTCGACCTTAAGTATTTTCATTACATCCATGGACGAACTATAAAACGATATAATAGGTTTGCTAATTACATGCATTAGTTCTCGCCTGAAATGTAACTTAATAGCAAATTTTGGCGTACCACAAAATTATCCACCACTTCATCTACCAAGGTCCTCGTTTTTTTTTATAACCTTTAAGAACCGGAAATTCATCTTTCTCCTTATATGAAACAGTTTAAATGTATTTTTAAGAATTAAATTTATAGTAATTTGATACAGCACCAGACTCTTGAGCTACATTTATTCGGCCAGCTGCTTTGACAAGTCTTGAAGGCAACTCATGTAAGCGACGTTCTCACCCATTTCCATCTGTTCAATCTTTACCCTCATACAAAATCATTGTTGTCGCTTTTTAAGAAACCCTAGTAGACTTTTATGCTCGGAATTCATTATTAGCATAAGCTTATTCCCTCTTTTTTTTATTAAGTTCATAAGTTAAGTAGCATGCCCAACGACCTATTACGCTGTTTCGTAGTACTGTAATTTTTTGAGCGTTGTTAAATACGAAATTTACAGCTTAACCTAGTACGACGGACCCTCAAATCTTTGAAGTAGAACCCCACCTATCACGAATCCATTTAATTCTACTTGTAAAAATAAATTTGTTACAAACCTCTCTTTATCCACGCAAATCTCGCTTCAAGCTTTTTTTAAAACCTTCTCCCAAACAAACTTCTCTTCTTTGTTCTACTTCAACAACTGCCACTAACCGCACAATTATATTTGTTTAGGCATAACATGTTTTAAAGATTTGTATATACATTTCGCACAATCCAAAGCCTTCTTTTTTAACCTCTCTTCCTAATCATTTCACAGAGGTTTTTACAAGTTATATTTCTTAATATTTTAGTTAATGTTAATCTTTCTCAGAATGCACACAGTGCATTATAATGGTCTAATATATTTTTACTACACACTAAGCCACCTCTTACTCATAATCCAAATAGTAGTTCATAGCTAACTGTAATTTTCTATAAAAGTAAATAGTGTAGTTAACCAGTATTCTATATATCCCGCCTTAATAACACAATTTGTAAAAGTTTTTTACTTTCTCGTTGAAATCACCCTGCACTTTAATTTGTCCTTTAATAATGTATCTTTACTAAACAGGACGACCTCCACCCTTTGAATTCTAATTTTGAAGGGACCACTCTAGCGTACTTCCAACTTTGCTTAAAAATACGCTCTGCTAAATTTCTAATCACCTTTTTTTTTAGTTTTACTTAGTAAACATTTTTATATGTATTCCAGGACACTCATTAACCCACTAATCAATTTTTCTCTTAAGCTCGTCAACTTCTATTAAAAGGTCCACCTCTTGTCTCTTCAAACTCAGTCTCCATTACCACCAAAGAATTGTAGTTCTCGTATATCTAGCTTTAAAAACTTTATCTCCTTTACTTTATCTTTTATAGTTTCCTGTACAGATCACACTATTAACCTCGCCTACTTGGTACAATCAATGCGCAATCCTCGATATTCACAAACCTATAAAAAATTTTTTCCTAATCCCTCTTTTTTACACTACACTAATACTGAGCTAATGCTTCACAACTTTCTAACTTACTTCGTTTAAATAATGTTTATAACTTTCTTTTCATTGTTAATAACTACAGAAAGCTATTTTGGTCATTAAATATAACCCTTTTCCAGTGCATCTAAAGGAAGATGCACCTCTCCCTGTACCTTTTCAGTAACTGTGAAGCATCAATATTATTTTATGGGTCAGATATACAGGAAGACCTCATTTGTCTTAAAAAGTTTTAAGAAAGTTCCTAAGCAAAACCTATAAAAAAACAAGCACATTTTTAATTTTAACTTTGAGTTTAATCTCTAATATGTTTATAACTTAAATAAGTTCCCCAAAAATAACTAAACTACAATCCTTCAAATCTTTTCTTTTTTTCTCAAAATTTACTTATATTTATTATATTTTATTCTCTAGCTCACTTTTGCTTTAAATTAAGGACCTTCCATTTCTTTTCAAGGTACTTTAAAAATTAATTTTACTGGCTAAATCTTTAACTATATTATTTGGTCATCAACCACCTGAGAAGCATACCCTTAAACAACCATTAATTGTAGCTCCATCCCAATTTTTGTTGGTTTTTTTTTGTTTTTAAGTAATTGTCAGTGTAGGGTGTCCAAAAAATGTGACCACCGCTAAGACACCAGGGTAAAGTAGTACTATTACTAGGGAAGATGTTTTTAAAATAAACAGACTAAATTGGATTATATCTTTTTTTGAACTTAACCACTTTTAAATTATCTAATGAAAATATTTAGCTGCCTCTAAAGTTATTATTGCAGGCAATTGCAAACCCACTGTTTAATAAAGCTGTAAATAGTTATACACTTCATATCATTTTTGGTACACTCTTGCTTGCATAAAAATTTATTTCCCTTTATAATTTTAAATCCTTAAAACTTTGCTGCGTGCACAATAAAAATAAATGATAAGCCAAACACCAAAAATAGCAACTTAATCCTCGTACAAAAATTAATAGCGTAATTAAATAGAATTTTAAATTAGTACAATTTTTATATAATTGTCATGGAAAATTATATTAAAAAATTATTAGGTCAAATGAAATGTGAGAAGTTGACCTAATAATACCTGCTATTTTCTCTGCCCGTCAATTTTTACTTCCAGTACACTCCCGTTCTTCGAGGTGCTAAATTTTATTATATATATATTTATAAAAGAGGTGTTTCCTTTTTAAAAGATTACTCATCACAGTCTTAACGAAGAAAAAATCATTTATTTTTATCTCTATTAGTTCAAATAATACAATTTTATACAGGACCTTGGTGTATAAATCAGTGGTCCATTAAAAACGTTGCAAACAAGTGCCAGTACAGGAACTAACTTATAGGTCAACTAATTTTTAAATAAAAAAATATATTGTACACTCTATTACATTTTAATATTTCAGCAATTTTTTGGTGTATGGAAGATTTATATGCTCTTTAAACTAAGGCAGACTTTCTTTAAAAAACATTCTTTATTAATACGCACTAAAGAAGAACTGAGTTTTTCTTCCATATCCAATTTTAAAAAAAAACTTGTTAAAGAAGAATTGATAAGAGTTCTCATCAATTTTAAAGACCTTGATATACTAAATTTCCGCTGTATAAATAATAATAACAGCTTTTTAAAACGTATTATCCCTACAAAAATTTAGAAGGTTTAACTTATAATTAGCTTCATAGAATAATAACTCGGAGAAAGCAACTGCTCCTGCGAAAAATAAATATCCTAGATAGCGAAAGAATTTACTATATAAATATATATTAGGTACCAAGACATGTATTACAAACTTTCATATCAAAAAAAATATTTTGTAGATTAGATTATATGCACTAACCGCGGACCAGTAGTCCACGTATGATAATTCCTTAAAAAAATATGATCAGCGTTACTTATAGCTGCTCTATTTGGGGTGTCCATAGTAGAGACTACATATAGAAAAGTGCAAATTACTATTAGCACAATAAATAGCACAAAACATATTATTTTACTTATTAAAAACGGCAGTTAACGTATTATAATTATTTTTGACATTCCTTCTTTCCCTTAGCGCATTTTATCCTTCAATGAACACATTTGAAAAATTTGTTTTATAATAAAAAGTAACGTGAATTTTTTGTTAGCTAATTACATTCTTCAGAAATATAAAGCATTGCAAAATATTAAGGGAAGGTACGCTAATTGCGAACATTGAACTTTGTAAGATTACAAAGTTTTAACTACACGTATACAGTGACCTATTGAACTGTAAAACATGTAACTTCTTTTCGACACACTAACCAGTTGGTTCCATGACTCAACTTCTCCTTTGCCTTTAACAACGTAGAGAGGTTAAGAGTTTATTTGCTTACTTAAAGCTTATTAAATGGTTTTCATTTAACCTCTAAATTATATATGCATAAAAAAGAAAAGCTCTAATACCAGAAACCAGCATATAATAAAAACTCCCACGCTAATACATATTTAAGGTGCAGTACTTCTCCCTATTTCGCGATACATTGACATTCCTTAGACCTTGTGCGATCACACAGAGCTCAATTGCACGAAAGCATATAATCTATTGAGAACTGAAATGCAGGATATAGTAAATTTTAGCTAAGTGGAGTGTCTTTACTTATAAATATAATGATATCTGTAAACAAGTCAAATTTCGTTAGACAATAATTATTAGTTATACACAAAAAAGGCAATTATTAAAAATTACAAAGAGCTTTTATCTTTAATAGCCAATATCAAAACACGTTAAACTTATGATACGCAAAAAATTCAACTCGTAAAAAAGTCTAGGCAAGTGAAAATAAGATTTAGTAATTCAAAATAAAAAGCTTTTCGGTTTGGCTTTTGCAATAGGGTTGAGGTGCGTCGTTATGCTCTACCAATCTCTTTTTAAAAATAAGGTTTTTAAGTACGTGACCCTATATCCACTGTAGTAATGGTTCAGTTTACCTTGTATAAAATTTATATACCTAAGGTTTATCAAAGAAACTATTTAAGATGCAGAATCATCCATCTACTCGCTAAAGGGTACGATTTGCTTTCAGAGTTGCCTATGAAATTTTTTTTTACTAAAAAAACTTTGCAATGCCTATTTAAATTAATTTATAGCCAATAAAATTAGGTAAGTAATAGAGATTTCACTCTGTATTTAACTTTATAAAATTAAGAAAATTATAGCACACAATCGCAATTATAAACAATTTTTTTCAAGTTTCTGAAATTTGTCGCTGCTGAGTTGAGTAAGAAGTGTTAATATTCCCATCTTTCAAAATTCTTCAGTTTTGTTCAATTGCTCTCTATATTCTTTTGTATACTTTTCTGTTGTACCAAACCAATTCTGCCAGTTTTTGCATATGTTGAGTTCACCGGTAATAAGTCTTTGAAACTGGTATATTTATAACTATTAGTGATATAATATAGTAATTATATATTATAGACTATAAGATATATTACAATATAGAGTTATTAAAGATTCAACACGGTAATAAACTGTTTGATAGAATTAAAGACTACAGAAGAGCACCACGCTGCCAAAGTCACAAAATACAGAAAAAGAAAAAATGTGATGCTCGAGTCATTTTATATATATAACAATTAGCTCTCGAGGGTTAAACCGTCGTCTATACACAGGGAATAAAAAATTAGTGAATTTCAATATAATAGGAGTGCATTTACACGTCCGAACGAGGGCAACGGCATGATTAAAAATTGCGCTTGAAAATTTATAACAAAATTATTTACTGAGGGGCATATGCTCTCTAATTTATAAGGAAAGACAATGAATTTAATTATCTTACCGCAGAATTAAAATTTAATTAATTGATGGTAACTATTTATTGTTTATCAGGAGTTAATTAAATCAATTACTACCTACTGTAATAACCTAGGGCCCTCTGTATCTGAATATTTTGTTTGTAAAAAAGTTTAGTTTGTACACGTAACTATTAGACCAGGGAAAGGCAGGTTGTCACCGACGGGAATCGAACCCGCGACCTTGCGGTAATGCTCTAACCACTGAGCTACGGTAACACTCCAAACCTTCGATGGATAAGTTACGTATACAACTTTTGCTACTTCGTGTAAACAAAATATAGAATGCCTAAGTAGCTGTTGGTTTTACTCAGTTAGTTAGCTAACTGAATATAATAACCAAACTTCCTCCTCTGCTAATACCAATAATATTATTTTATATTAATAATAATAGTAAAAATAAAAATAAATGATAACTTTAATACGTATTAAATAAGAAAGTTGCAAATAATGTCATATATACTACATGCTGCTGCAAAAGGTTTACTTTTCCCCCTTTTGGTGTTTTTATTCCGACTTTTTACTACCAAAAGGAATTACCGGTAATAAGGACGTACTTTCTTAATTGTAGCACGCCACCTTCATAAATAAAAAAAACAGCTGTGGCTTGTCCATTATATTGACCGCTCTTTATTTCCTTATCGGTTTTCACCGGGTCTTTGTTATAGTTTACGTGGGTTTTAGGTGACCAGAAATATCAGGTAGTCTAAAGGGCTAGATGAAAGACTAAAAAGTAGAGAGGGCGTTTTAGTCAACTTTCATAAATAACTTAGTAGCCTCGGGCACAATGAAGAAAACACTAAGTTAACCGGTTTTATAAGATATTATAAATAGATTAAGAAAACTTTACTTAAATAATCATTAAAAGTATAATACGTAAAATTGAAATTGTTACACACTTTAAAACTTCAAATAATCGTACTTTCACTTTGAAGCTGTTATCTCCATGCTTCAGAGACACATTGATGGCATATACCGGTATAATTATCGTAGAAGAAACGAACACATTTTTGATCAGCTGAGCTTAAAAAGACTTATGATTTAGTAAATCAAGTTTTATTATCGATAATAATTAATAAAAAAGGGCTGTCTTCCCCGTATATTTTAGAACATCTGAGACGCACTAAGTGTGGCTCGCAAGCCCTACAGCACAGAAAGTTTTCGCTAAAATTATTACTTCGCTTATTAACCACAAAAAAGTTGTTGCGTTGTAACTAAAAAATGTTTAGTTCCACCATATTATTATAACTGCCATAAGATTAGACAAAATTTTTTACATCTTGTCATTTTCGTAAATTATGTATTTCTATAAATATATTTATTACCTATTATTTTATTGATAAGTGGAGATAGATAAAGAATTACTTCTCCTTAAAATTTATTTTTAAGTGTTTTTGAAAATTATAAGAATGTTTACTGAGAAACTCAACTTTTTGTACACCAGATTTTGCGTCGTTTATTAAGACTCTGTGCTACGGCGGTGGCTTTACTTAAATTCAATGAAAAGATTCGCCGGGCTAAATTACTTTACTTTGGATATAAAATTACTAACATCCCACTTTTTACTAAGTTTAATAGTGAAAGCACTAGTATCATACTTATTTACATTCGTAATGGAAAATACACTATCGTTCAAAATTGTTTCTGTTTTTTTTAATTTTTTTCGTAAAAATTCTATAACGCTATAATTAATGATTGGTTATATTAATCCTCTAAATAAATATAAGTTTAGATTGAGATCTATTAAATGTAGTTTGTATTAGAGAATTGCTTTCTTACTTAAATCTTTAGGGCTTCTTAAAAATTTAACTACGACTGAAAAGGTTTTACACGTGACCCCTCTTCGTGCAAAATTGTTCTATCCACGAACTTTTTATGACCACTCCACCAAAAAAGGGGCTTTCTAAAGCGTGGATAGCTCATTTAGAGACCTTAATTTAATAACGCGTAAACTTTCATTCGATGAAGAAAATGATGTAAAATGCTTTTTAGATCAAGGTAAGCCTTATACTGAGGAGTAAATGTGGCGCCGTAAGTCCACGATATCCCGGATCAAAGCTCAATAGGATCCAAATCGTTCTTGCAATAAACCTGGGCGCCCAAAGATCTTGAAAAAACCTGGATCTACTGGACTTTTACGACAAGTGACATTGGGTGCAAGTGAAACTGCACAGAAAGCTTCAAAATTCATAGAAACTACATTAGATAGACCAGTTTCAAGGCCGACCGTGTCGAGGGCTTGCATTCTGCTAGTCTCCATGGAAAAAAAAAGTTAATTAAACACACTTTGACAGACTGTCACAAACGAATAAGTTTTGATTTTGCAAAGAGGTAAGAGAATTAAATCATTTCTGACCGGGAAAAAGTAATTTTTTCGGACGAGACTAAGATCATTCGGTATGATTCTGATGGTATTAGTTGGTGTTGGAAGCGATCCGGAGATAATCGACTACTTGAACACTATGTGGTGCAAACGTATAAACGTTGAGGAGGATCTATTATGATACGATCCTGTATAACAACTAACGGGATCGGATATTTGGGAAAAATGGCAGTGAGAATTACCGCAGGCACGTATCTAGACTTTATTAAGAATGACCTATCCAGGACCAGCAATTGGTATGGCCTCGTTCTTGGTGAAATGGTTTTCCGGCAGGTTAATGCCCCATGTCACACTGCACTATCGGTGCGATCATGACTCCTATTACAGTCGTTTCAAGTGCTAGACTGGCCTCCGCAATTTCCTGCAGGGGGACCTTGAAGAGAAAATTGGAATCATTCGGATCAGCTCTTGCTAACTTGGACGAGCTTTGGGCACCTGTATAGTCAGGTGGTAAATAAAACATCGGATCAAGGCTACAAGCTGATTGCCAGTATGCCAAAGAAGATACAAGCAGTGATTCTGGAGAAAGGGAGCAATACTAATTAAAATCTCGTTTATTAAATTAAATTTTTCTACCTGCATAATTGTTTCTATAATCTTTCAACTTTACAAGCTCATATCTTTTCGAGTACCAAATCAATTTAAGATCAAGTATTAACAAAATGTAACTAGAACATAGAAGTTTTACTGTGTATAAATTTTAAAGTAATCCATTACATTATTGAAAAGTTATTTTGTATTAAATGAAAAAATGCAAAACATTGAAACCATTTTGCACGGACTCTAACAAAGATTATAATTATGAAAATGCGTAATGATGGCTTTCACACTGAAGCTTTTACTGCAAAGTTTATACCAGGAATTTCCTTAGTTACCACAGAGTGCCTAAAGTTAGAGTGTAGTTTACCGGAAACATTATATGGGATAAACTTTAACTGCATATATAAGATAACTGTGTTTCATTAAATGGTATTGAAAAATATATAAACTGTATCCCTCTGTTTGAAATAAATAGAAAGAGTAAAATTTGCTCGTGAGAAGGCGAAATTACACAAATCCTTGAGTTTACCCTTTTTACCGCATACCTATAAAGGGGGTAAATTTTAATTACTTCTGTTTTTACGTCGAAAAAATAGAGTTGTCGCTGTAACATTAACGCACAAACAAGCGCAAGTCGTTATTGCGATAGTATCTTTCCGTGTAAATAAAATATTATAATTTAGTAAAGTTTCTTTATACTAATACACACAAAAAAAGTATAAATAGAAAATTTACGATAAAACGAACGTGGGTTAGGAGGCAGTAACAAATTTTTTTTGCTCTACTTATTAAAAAAAGGAAAGAGTTAGTTAGAAGAACTGTCATCTTGAGGGAATAAAGTCTTTACCTTTTCCGCTTACATCTAAACAATACTTATACCCCAATTAGTCTGAACTTGAAAGAGTACAAATTTTTGGAAATGAAGAAAAGTTAATTACGCTTTTTAAAACATCCTGATTGCGAGACTGACGAGGTTTATGTATAGTTCTGTTGAGGTCATGAAGGTTGACTTAAAATTTTGTCTTATCGCTTCTGCCTCTTTAGCGCTGGGAGTGTTTCCGGTTTATGATATTTATATTAATAGAATCTGCTTTTGTTTTAAATATTTTAAAGCTTTTAACTAAAGATTTTTAATAACATATTTTACAAATTTATGTGCCATAGGAAATATTTTACCAAGTCTTAGCTTTATTGTTTCTATGCTAGTTAAGTACGAAGCTAAGTGTGTCCGAGTAAAAGGTGAAAGATTCTTATTATATTTATAACATTTTTCAAGCATTTAGAGTTATTTTTATAACTATAAGAGTATAAATATTTAAATTAATTTTTTTTATTTATTTAAAGGGTTGTCTTTTCATCCTTCTCGTTCCTGGTTGCTCACTTCCTTGAGTAGCGGAAGTATTCAACTTTGGGACTACCAAAAACAAGTCCTTATTGAGAAGTACGAAGAACACGAAGGTTTATATAATAATTAGTACTTATTTTATCATATATATTTATGTCCGAATTTAAGACAGTAGCCTTCATTATACATAAGAGAAGAGATTATTATCATATAAACTTTACATATTTTTATTAAAATTTAGAATATTTTATTATTATTAAGAGAAAAGGTCATTGAATCATATTTATTAAGAAGGAAAAAAACAAGTTTGCTAATAAAATTCAAATTAAAGAGAATTCTATTTTAACTTTGTAACTATTAATGCTATTTTACTTAAAACTTGATAGAAGAAAAAAAAATTTCTTTTTGTATTGAAATTTTTGTTTAAAAACATTTGACTTTTAATGTTTAATAATATCCAGTTTTTTTTGGAATTTGAGTGTGACTTTTGAAGATTTTTAAATTTTTTTAACAAATTTTCACGTTTAACTTTTATGTTAATGTATTTTTTATAAAAGTTTTATAAAACTCGAATGTAGTCTTAAAAAAATATTTAAGTTTTTAAAATTAAAAAATATATAATTCTATTATAAGGAAAATTCAAAAAAATTTTTATTTTAAGTTATTAAATTAATTAATATTTTCCTTTACTTTACAAAATTGAAAAATTGAATTTTTATTAGATTATTTATAAATTAATTATTCCTTATTTTATTTTTATAAAGCTTGACTTTTTTTATTTTAAATTTTAGTAAACCAACTTGAGTCTAATTATATATATATGGAATTCTTTTAGATTTTAAATTTATAAAATTTTTTAAATTTGAATATTGTAACGGTATTTTTTACTTATGTTAATTATAAATTTATTATATATTTTATAAAACATTGTTTTAATAATTTATATTAATAAGATCTTTTAATTTTAAGTATTTTTAAAATAATTTCCGTATTCTATACTTTTTATATATACACTATTATTAATGGCTTATTTCTTCAATATTCTTTATTTTCTCAAATTTTATTATTATTATAATTTTTTTTAAACTTTTCCTTTTTATGTATTTCGAATAGTTACGTTATTATTTTAGCAAATTTATTATAATATTTATATATGTGTGTTTTTACTTTTACTTCTTGTTATGTATAACTTTTTCATATTTAATTAATTTTACGTTACACTTTTTTTATTTTTATAAATCATAAGAAAATACTTAATGTATTATTTTTCCTTTTTTATTTTTATTTTTTATTTATTGTTTTATATGTTTGAATATTTTATTTGTGCAAATAATTATATTAATAGTAGTACAAAACTTTATAATTTTTCTTAAGAAAGGTTAATCGTTATTTACTTTATACTTACTTAAGAATAACGCCGTATTATTCATATTATTATTATTACTCTTATAAATATACAATTTTTTTTATATTACTTATAATTATTATCTCTTTGCTTATTAGTATTATTATCACTATTATTATTACACTAATGTATTTACAATTTTCCATTTCATAATATTTATTATTATTTCTTTGTTTATTATTATTCTTATATATGTTTCTTTTTACTTGTATTTATCAAATTTACTATTATCTCTTTGCTTATTATTGTTATTTTCCAGTTATATTTATTATTATTATACTTATTATAAATAATACTTAAACCTTTTTTTTAGGGCCCGTGCGGTGCGTGCAGTTCCATATGAACCAACCACTGTTTGTTTCTGGCGGGGACGATATGAAGATTAAAGTGTGGAATTACAAGCAAAAGCGCTGCATTTTTACTTTATTGGACCATCAGGACTATATCCGCACGTGCTTTTTCCATCATGTAATGCGTTCATTATTTTTCTTGATCCTTGCTGGTTCCCGCCATTTTTTTTTGCCTCCCATTCCAAATGAATGTCCATATTTATTCTTAAAACTTTTACTTGTTTCACTTTTTTTTTTATAGTATTAAATTTTCATTATAAAGACTTTTATGCACTTCTATTATAAATTCCTTCCGTGTTGAGGAATATTATTCATTTATTTATTATTATTGTACTATTTTTTTTTACATTTTTATATTAACTCCCTCACAACACGAATTTCACTATTTTTATTCCCTTCATTATTTTAACTTTTTTTTAAAAGTGTCTAAACACGTGTTTTTTCTTACAGGAAAGCCCTTGGATCCTCAGCGCGTCTGACGATGGAACGGTGCGCATATGGAACTGGCAGGCGCGCTCATGTATCTCCGTCCTGTCCGGCCACACGCATTATGTCATGTGCGCACAATTCCATCCCTCCTCTGATTTGGTTTTTTTTCTTTTTCTTTTTATGTAAAGTTTTTAAGATTCCCATAATAATAATCACTTTTTTTTATAAAATTTTTATTAATTTTTTTTTAGGTACGAGAAGCTTTAAATAATAAACTATTTAATATACCTTTTATTTAAATATATTTTTTTATAATAAAAAAGATTGCCTCAGGCTCATTGGACAACACTATCCGTGTCTGGGATATGACTGGTTCATTTTTATATTATTTCTAATATATTTATTTATAAAAATATATTTTTTAATATTATAAAAAACTTATATTAACTAAACTTCATGAATAAACTTTTGTTTCCTTTTTGTTATTTATTAGGAAGTTTAATATCTATAATAAACTTTTTTGATCTTTTTATTATAATGAATATGAAAAACTTTTATTAATGGAGTAAATTTTTTTTATTTTCATATGAGAACTTTAATAGCCAATTTTCTTATTTATAGATAATTTTATTGAAAAAACTTATTTATGTTTATTTTTTTAAAGAAAATTTTTAATTATAATATTTTATTTTTACTTTTATTTTTCTATTTATATATAATTATTATAAATTTTTTGTTACTCATAACTTGTATTTTTTTTTAAGTTCTATTAAAATATTATTATCATTATATATATTTTTTGTAAAAGTAATAAACTCTTTTCTATTTTTAATATAATTTATATTTTTTGGAAATATTTTTATTATTTTTTGAGAAACTTTTATAACTTTATTTAATTATTTATAAAAAACTTTTATAAAATGTATATTATTTTTATTCTTTTAAGTTTCCTGAAACATTTTTATTTACTTTTACTTAATAAGACTTGAATTGTTTATTCTCTTTTTAAACTTTTTATAACTGTCATAAACTTTTATATTATCAAATATAAATTTTTTTTTTTAAAAAAAAAATTACTTTTTCCAGTTAATATTTATAATATAATACTTTCTATAATAAATTTACAAGCAATGAAATTTTTCAATTTTTTATCAAAATTTGTTTAAATATTATAAAACGTTCTACTATTCTTATACTTTTTCTATATATTTTATGTATTTACACTTTTTTATTGAAGTAAACTTTTTTTTATATTTTTTTTTTATATTTTTTAAAATATAAATATAAAACTTTACTTTTTATAATTTATTTTAGTATATTATTTAAAAGCCTTTATTACTGTAAGAAATATTTATATTAATTTTTTTATCTTTTATCAAGAAAACTTTTAAAAAAACTTTTTATATATAACTTTTTTTACTGTACTAAAGTATTTATACTAAAAATTTTTTGATACTTTTATACTTTACTTATTATATTAGTAGAAATATTTTTTAAGATTAACAAATAATACTAACTAAAAAAAATAAAAACTTCTTTCTTATACTTTTATACTCCTTTCTATATTTATAAGTATTTAAGTTTTCAGTTTATAAAATAATTTTATTTAAAAAAAAAAAACTTTTTATTTAAACTTTATACTTTTTTATTTTTATAAATATTTAAATATTCATTTTATTAAATACTTTTACACAACAAATTAAAACTTTCTTTTTCATATTTTTAATAAAGTTATTAAATATTTGATTTTTTTATATAAAAATACAATACGAAATTTAGTTTCTAATAAATTTTATCATCTCATTTTATATTTATTTTCATTTTTTGTTAGTCCATTAAGGAATTTGTTTAGTAAAAAGTATAATTTATATATTAAAGTTATCACAAATATTTCAATATTTGTAAACCTTTTATATGAAAATGCAAAATCTACTAATTAAAAATTTTATTATTTCATATTATTACTTTTTGAGTTAATCACAAATTTGTTTCTCTGGAAAAATTTAGTATTATTTTTTCTTATTTATTTTCTTTTTTTATCGTCACTTTTTTCCTTTTTTTCAACTTTTTTTATATTTGTAACTTTTCTCACAATATTTCTTCATATATATAATAAAGCATTAATTCGAAAAAGTGTTCTACCCTCGGGTCGCATGGAGCTCGGAAGGCGGCCCAAGCCCGAACTTTTTAGCTCCAGGGATCCCACTATAAAGGCCTTTTTTCTTTATAAATGATTCTAATTATTATTATTATTTATTTACTTTATCGTATATATTGTATTAAATGTTGATAAACTCTTTTTTTACTTATTAGCTTTAATAATTTTTATATACTTTTGTTTGCTTTAAATTTTTTTTTTACTTATTAGTATAAAAATTATATATATATATATTAGTTTACTTTATATACTTTATTTATGCTTACGTTTGCTCGCCTATAAACTTTTTCTAACTTATTAATATTTATTACTCTTATAAGTTGACAATATTTTTTAAATTCTCATAAATATTTATTCTACTTTTTGTTAGATATATTAACGTTCTACCCTAATTGGTCTTCATTTTTTGTTTTATTATAAACTGCATAAATTTTACTGCTTATCTTTTTTCTTTTTACTTTTATATATTTTTTTTTAATTAATTTTACTTATTCTTATTATAAACTTTTTAATATACTTATAACATTTTTTCTTCTATATATTTATACATTATTTGTTTCCTGAAATACTTTTTATAAACTTAAAATATATTTTAATTACTTTTTTACTCTCAGCTTTTATCGTATTATCTTCATTTTTTTTAAATTTTTGGTTATAAGTAATACTCATTTTTTTTTTATCTTCATATTATTTTTCTTTTTTTCTATTAATAATATGTGATTTACTTTTAAAGATATTTAAATATTTTTAAAACTTTGAATAACTATTCGGAATATATATAATAACATGTAAGAAAGTTAAATTATTATATTTGTTGATTTATATAATTAATAATTGCTTCGTTAGAAAAGTTGATAATTTACACTTCGTTAAAAAGTATTTTATGCTTAACTGTTTTCATAATTTTATATGAATTACTATTAACTTTAGTCTTTTTTAAAAATGTTTAATAGTATTTCATATTTTCCATTATTATTTAGTTTATTCTTGAAGGGCACGAGAGAGGAGTTAATTGGGTCGCTTTTCATTTAAGTCAGCCGTTGTATGAATATTTATTATTGTTATTTAATTATTATTATTATTATTATTATTATTATTATTATTATTATTATTATTATTATTATTATTATTATTATTATTATTATTATTATTATTATTATTATTATTATTATCTTTAGAATAGCATCAGCATCGGACGACCGCACTGTGAGGCTTTGGCGTTACGATGACTATAGAGCCGTGCGTTTATAAATATTATTATTACGATCTTTATAATTGTTATTATTATTATTAATCTGTTACACTTTACATAATCGGATGCTCTTTAGATCGAACTGGGTGTCTATCGGGGCCATTTTAACAATGTGTCATGCGTTGTTTTTCACCCAATTAGAGACTTAATTATTAGCAATTCAGAGGACAAGCACATTCGAGTTTGGGATCTCCCGAGTCGCGTGTGCGTAAAGTTGTACAGAACTGAAAACGACAGGTGTACACCACATGACCTTAACCGATCAGCCCATAACTTGCTTCTATATATGAATTTTTATGTTTTTCTTTTCAAAATTTATAAATAAAAAAATATTGTTGTATTACTTTACATTTTTTATGTATTTATTTATCCAATGAAAGGTTCTGGATTCTTTCCGTCCACAAAGGCAGCAATTTATTGGCTGCGGGTCACGAGTCTGGAATGCTGGTGTTCAAGTTGCAGCGCGAACGCACGCCTTTTTCCGTCCATCAGAACAATATTTATTACGTTAATGATAGAGTGTTGAGAGTATTATTATTATATTATCTTCAGTATTATTATTATTCATTAACTTTGCTATTTATTTACTCTGTATATAATAAAGCTTATAGCTATTATTTTTGTATTCCGTTTATTAAATATATTTAATTTTTTTTGATATACTTTTTACCATTTTTTTTAATAACCTTTAATACTTTTATTGGTATAATATATATTAAAATTTTCTTAAGCAACTTATTACTAAGTAGTACAGAGCATCCTTTAAAATTCATTATAATAAAAAAATAAATATCGGTAATTAAATATAGAAATATGAGTCTGTGTGATTTTAATATTATATACTATTTACTTATTATTTTTCTATAACGTAATAATTTACAACTAATTTGTATTTGCTTATTAAAGTTTTGACTTTTTATATGTAAATCTTTATACATTATTATTTTATATATTTTCTACTATTTGTCATCATTTTATTTTCTATTCATTTTCTGTATTGTTGGACCGAAGGTTTTTAATATCGAAGAAACGAAAGACACACCAATCATGTCACTGAAGCGGCCTGCGGGCGTCACTTTCGACTCCGTCCTTGATATTCACTACAATCCTGCAGAAAATGCGCTTCTATTGACCTCCGTAAAACTATTATTATTATTATTATTGTTGTTATTATTATATTATAGCGCATAGAGGATGGAAGTTATGAACTCTATACACTCCCAAAGAAGAGTGAACCCACTTCTGCTTATCGGGCGTTGGGTCCTTTTTCATATTGATAACTTTCTTACTTTGTATTATCTTTTCATTTCCTGTGTTCTTTTTATTATTTTTATATTTACTATTCACAGAACTTTTATAAACAATACCAATTATAATGATAATTAGGGATCTATTTTTTTAATGATTAATTTCTTACTGAATTTTATTATTATTACTGGTGTAGGCCGTTCAGCAGTTTGGGTGGCCAGAAACAAGTTTGCGGTACTAACGGAAAACAAAACTGTAAGTTTGCTCTTTTCAGACTGAATTTTGGGCTTACCATGAAACCAATAAACGCTGCATTTTTAAAAATTTATTGTGCTAAATAAATTAGATTGGATGCTATAAGCTTCAGTTTTTATAACCCAACATATTGTATCTGATTTTACCTGCTGCATAATTTTTCATAAATACTTTTACAATACCGTTTAAGGATACTTTGAATTTTTTTTTTTCCTATGCCACTACACTTTTAGATTCTTATAGTGGACTTAAAAAATGAAATCACCAAAAAAATTGACGTTTCTGTTATGGCCATAACCTCGTTGTCTTATGCAGGTCTTTAATTGACACATTTTACTAATTTGTAAATTTTATAAATATTGTGAAGTAGCAGCCAATTTTTTCACTTCCGCGTTGACATCCACGTGCCCTTTTTACCACTTTTCCTTTTTTATATAAACTACAGGGATTGGAACTCTGCTATTGATAACTGATAATGAAGTTTTTCTTTTTGACGTACAACAAGTAAACTTTTTTCACAATTATTTTTGTATTATTGCTTTAACGTGTATATGTAGCAAGCTTCTATTATTATTATAATTATTATTTATTAAAGAAACAAACTTTGGCTGAATGTTCGCTATCGGGCGTACGCCGTGTGGTCTGGTCGTCCGACTCTTCCCACGTGGCAATGCTGACCAAGTTTTGTAAGTCTTATTTTTTTTATTTCCTTTTCTATTCGCGATAAGTTTATTATGTTGCTTTCATTATTGTTTTTGAAAACTTTTCCCGTTCTACAGCAATTGTCATAAGCTCTAAAAAGTTGGAACAACTGTGCACTGTGCAGGAAACAACTCGTGTGAAAAGTGCCACGTGGGACTCGGCGGGTGTTTTACTCTATACGACTGCCTGCCATATTAAGTATCTTCTTCTCAACGGGTTGGTTATAGTTTACTATTTTTTCATTATGATTATTGATATTTTTTTTTTTCCAGAGATTCAGGAATTATTAGGACTCTGGACATCCCCATTTACATTACTGCTGTCCGCGATGATAAAGTTTATTGCTTTGATAATGAGAGCCGTCCACGTGTCCTAGAGATCGACCCTTCCGAGTACAAATTTAAGTTTGCTCTGGTCACTAAAAATTATGACGAGGTTGTTTATTATTGTTGTTATTATTACTTTATTATTTTCATTATATAAATTTAAATACTATATATAATGTCATGTTTTTTTTTGGAAATGAAATAATATTTTTTGCTTTTTTTATTTTTTATTTACTCGTAATTACTAAAACTTTGATAAATATATCTACTTTTATTGTTATTATTATTATTATTATTATTATTATTATTATTAAAGCTCGAATACTCAGAAAATAGAAAAATATTATGATTTCGTAATATTTATACTTTTGTTTAAACTATGTAAGGTTTTGTTATAATTAAATGATTGGATGATTTAAATTTTTCTATAATTCTACGTCAATCGCATTGCAGGTTCTTTATATGGTGAGAACAAGCAATTTAATTGGTCAATCAATTATATTTTATCTGCAACAGAAAGGTTTCCTTTTTCACTATTTTTTTATTACTTTTATTTATTTAGTTTTATAAAAATTTTTGTAGGATACCCCGAACTCGCTCTACACTTTGTGAAGGACGAAAAGGCAAAGTTTCCATTGGCTCTTCAATGCAATAATTTACAAGTGGCACTTAATTGCGCTAAAAAACTAAACGACCCCAACTGTTGGGAACTTCTTGCCGAGTGTGCTTTAAAACAGGGCAATTGCAGCGTATGTTCCTATTATTATTCATTATTATTACTACTATTACTATATCTATCATAATTAATAATAAAGATTGTTGAACTGGCCTATCAACAAACTAAGAATTTTGAGCGTTTACTTTTGTTTTATATTTTCACTGGAAATATTGCAAAGTTGCCCCAACTAAAAAAACAGGCGACCTACACTCGCGGGGCCTCATTTTTGTATACTCTCAACTTATTTTTAGGTTTATTATTTATTGTAAAGATTTTACTGGAACTTCTTTATGTTTATTTTTTTTCAACTTCTTTTTATTTAATTATTATTATAATAATTAATCATGTAATACCTTGTATTTATGTTATTCCTAATATTTCTTACTTATTATAAATTTTTATAGAATTACAATAGTATTTTGATATCTTTAAATGTTTATTAAGAAAAGTTTTTAACTTTTCCTAATTTCTTTTTTAGGTGACTATAAAGGATGTGTTCAGGTCCTTGAAGAGAACAATCAGCATGCTCTTGCGTACTTAATGGCGACCACTTATGGTCTCGAGGACGACTCTGACAGAATTAAGCAAAGATTATTGGTCCCTCCGGGCTTTGAATGTCCTTCCGATGCGCAATTACTTCTCCCGCCAACGCCCGCCAATCCCTCGTCCTCTCGTTCGTTCTAATTTTTTGCTATTCGTCTGTTGCTTTTTTTTCTTAATAAAATATAATCTAGAAGAGGATTGGCCACTTTTGTCAAAAACAAAAACTATCTTTGACATGATTGATCCAAACGATAGCAAAATTACACTGAATTCTGATAAAAATACTATTTTTGCTGAAGAGGAGGTGCTTATATTTATGTTTATACTACTATCCTCGTTACTACTATTATAATAATAGATTGGCATCGGTTGGGGTGAAAAAGATCTCGAGCTTGACACTAAAAAACCTTCTGACCATGATGTTAATATTGACGCTACAGACAACGAAGGTTTTTTTTTCCCATTATTATCACCATATTTTTATTATATTTTATTATTATTATTTAGAATATAAGGGATGGGACGTCGCTGACGATATCGACGTACCGGGTGATCTGGATATCGGAATTGGTTTACCATTATTATTATCATTATTATGATCATTATTATTATAATAAAAGATATTATGCTGGCGGATAAGACCTTCATCCTCCCGGCAACCGGGCCCACTTCCTTTGAACTTTGGAGCCAAAACAGCGTGCTTCCTGCTGAATTTGTGGCCGCTGGAAATTTTGAGACGGCCATGCAGGTTTTTTTATTTTTACCACTGATAGGCTGCTGTGATTTTTAAAATTCGTTATTATTTCATGATTGAAAAGCTTCTAAACACTACTATCGGAGTGGTCAACTTTAAACCACTGCGGGAGCACTTCCTTCAAACGCTTTTGAGCTGTCACACTTCCCACGTGGGTATCCCCGAGCTCCCCTCAATGCTTACGCCAATCCACTACGTTGTGGGGTACATATCGCCGTAACTTCCTAACTACCAAAAAGAGCACGTTAAACTGACTTTAGAGCCACTCGTAAAGAGGGACGCCCATATGTCCCCAACCGCTTCCCGTTATTGGTTGAAAACCTAAATGAGGGCTACCGGTTGACCACCAAGGGCGACTTTTCCGCCGCTTTGGCGACCTTTAAAACCACTATACATTCTGTAAGTTTTTTTAAGTATATTTTTTAATTATAATTTCTCTTACTATCTTTATAGTATATTATTACTAATAAAAACTTTTAATAAGTTTTATAAAAATATTAATAACTCCCCTTAATAATTTTTCCGTTCATTTCATAACCTGAACAGCTTCCTCTGCTTATTGTGGATAGTAAAGCTGAAGAGAATGAAGTGCTAAAGATGCTTGCCGATTGCCGCGAGTATATTCTTGGTTTACACTTTTTATATTAAATTTCATTATTACAATAGCTTTTAATACTATAACGCACTTCATGGGTCATGTAAAGAAATTAACCAATAAAAATGTTTTTTTTTGTCTTTTTATTTTTATATCTATTTTTTTTTCAGGTTTGCAAATGGAAATGGAAAGGCAGAGTATTGCTGAAGATCCTTCGCAAGCAGCGAGAGCCTGTGAGCTCACCGCTTATTTTACTAACTGCAATCTCCAACCGGGCCACTCCCTTCTTACTCTCCGGTTTACCTATTATTATCATTATTATTACTATTATTATTATTATTATTATTATTATTATTATTATTATTATTATTATTATTATTATTATTATTATTATTATTATTATTATTATTATTATTATTATTATTATTATTATTATTATTATTATTATTATTATTATTATTATTAGAGTCGCAGCCACACGATTTTACCGGTTGAAAAACTATAAATCAGCATTCTCATTTGCTAAAAGAATGCTTGAATTTGGCCCGCCTCCAGAACAAGCCCAGCAAGTGGGATTATTATTATTATTATTATTATTATTATTATTATTATTATTATTATTATTATTATTATTATTATTATTATTATTATTATTATTATTATTATTATTATTATTATTATTATTATTATTATTATTATTATTATTATTATTATTATTATTATTATAAAAGGCCCGCAAAATAATGGCGGCCTGCCAAAAAAATCTTGTTGACGATATTCCCGTCAACTATAATGAATTCAATCCTTTTACTATTTGCGCATCGACATTCACCCCTATTTATAAAGTACTTTCTACAGTGATTTTTATAATAATAATCTGGTAATAATAACAATGAAGGGGAGTCCGTCTATAGCATGTCCCTACTGCTCTGCCACGTATTTACCAGAATGCGAAGGTCGTTTTTTTTCTTTTCATTTATTTGTTGTAATATTGAAAGAGTAAACTTGTAGGCCAAAATTGCAACATCTGCGAACTTTCTTCCGTCGGAAAAAAATGTTCGGGGCTATGCATTCTCTCTCAAGATCACATGTTCTAACGGGCTTATTTTATAAAAATACATCTGAAAATTTATAATTAAATTTTTTTTATAATTTTTTACTGAAATTAATATATAGTTATAAAAATTCTACCATAATGATATTAAGTGCGTCTCGTTTAGAGTGTGCTTTTATAAATTTTATAACATATAATAATATAAAAAGCTTATGTTAATTTTTATTCATAGTCTATACCAAGTTTTATTATATATCATTATACTAAAAAGTTAATTTTGCAAGGGGTGTTGATATTTTAAGTGACTGCATAAATTAATAATATACTCTGATTACTTAAATTTTGTGAGTTAAAAACTTTACTTAACAAAAAGAAAATAGTAGACACATTGAGAGGGTCTAATTCTCATGAATAAAATACTTTTTACAAGAAAAGTTAATAATAAAATTATAATTTGTGGTGACTACGCGTAAAAGCCTTAAAAATTTATCTAAAAAAAAAAATCTGCTAAACTAGAAAGGTCTAACAAAGTTTCGTTTTGCGCAACTAACTATTATGGATGCAGAACCAACCATAATTTAGAGCGATCACAGTCCGATCTAGTGAAAGATTTCCGCAGTATCGAAGGAAGTGACCTCTCAAACACAGCACTTATACCGATATCACTTTAGATTACACCCCAGTACAATTAGAATAATAGCACTACACGGGTGGATCAGAAGGAAAATAGCATCTTAAAATGCCGTATCTATCCTAGTAGGCTCTACCATTTTAAGTGCAAGCGCCTTCCAATTCGTGCACCTAAGCAACTCTAGCTCTTGGTGGTTTAAATAAGACCCTAACTTAGACTGGTGTAGCATGGCAACCATATTCTTAGCTCACTGTGTTTGAGCATTCCATAAAGTCTAGATAAAGATGATGCTAATTCAACTTTACTTTACACGTTTAACTTAAGCTGAAGGAAGCAGATAACCTTAGAAGGCTTGCTAGCAAGCACAAAAAAATTCTTAGTTACACGAATGAACATCTAACGTGACGGATGAACATACAATTCTAGCCATCTTTAAAAGTACTTCTAAACCCACTTTAAGTAGAACTCTAGAAGTTATACTAAAGGTCCAAGCTTTTTCAGGTAATTACGATGCTTTGTTACCTAAAGAATGATGCTCCCAGTAAAATCACAAAATGAGTGCCTTTATGTTTCATTTGTGTTAGACCCAAGATAAAAATAAAGTCACCAGTAGTCCCACTAGCTATAGGTAACCACCTACATAGCTGCTGGTTTATACCGCCTTTAAAGATAGATAAAGATAGACCACGTTACCACTTATAATAGGGACGCTATAAGAGCAGGTCCGCTGCAACGCTTAACCTTTGGGTTTCTAATATGGCGTTGTAGCAGGTATAGGGTTGGTCAAAGAGGAAACATAAGAACGCAAGATGAGCGTTTCTGTTACTCTTATCTTTTTTAAAAGGCTTAATTATTTTATAGTGTTATTACCCAATAAAAATTAAGTAAATTTTTTGTACTCTTACTAGATTATCTTTAAGCGATGTTAAAAGAAAATGTTATTACCAAGGGCATAAATACCAAAACTATAAAGAAGGTAGTGACAGTAGATACATCTAAATGCATGGGCTCCAACGGAATGTGAGCCTCGTCTAGAAGGGGGAGCGTTTAAAAAATAAATTGAACTGTATGTGTAAACACATAATATGAATAGCAAACTAGTTATATTTGGTTATGATTGATGTAACAGTTATTGAGTGAAGGTCATACTAACAACGAGATGCCCAGCGAAACCTTGTCGTTTTAAGAATGTGAATATCGAGTTGTGATGAAGTATCTTGTACAAAAGATAAGCCTAAGAAATCAAAAATAAACTAATAGCCATTTATCCACAATGTGCTCCATTATATGTGAACGGGCAAAAAGTGAACTTGGCTGTTAAAAGATGGACAAGAGACTATAAAGGCGCTGAGCACGCCGGACCGTGCACTGAAGAAAATATTCATATAAGTGGAAAATTAGCCCTCGAAGACCGTCGATTTCGGGTTCGTCAGATAGCGAGAAAAACTAAAAATTAGTAAAGATAATGTTAAACAAAGCCTTTATAGTCAGTTACTAATGAGCATGGTGAGCGCGCGTCGGACGCCCGAGTTGTTAATACTGCTAGTTCTGGAACGGAGTGGCGAATGTGCGTGCTGCGAGTTGTCATCGCATTGTACAGTGATGGTTATGATTTATCAGTACTATATAGAATCCAAACAATAGTTCATGCGATGGGTAAAATAGGGAGAAAAGCTTCCGCGAAAGTTCAAGGTTCAAGGTTCAAGGAGTGGCTACCAAACTTTTGGCAACAATATTTGGATTAGCGCAAGAAAGTTTGGTGGGCCCACTCCCAGGAGGAATAACGATGAACATGCAATCCTGTTCATTTGCCACAAGCCATTATTGAAAAACGCCGGGGTAAACTTAGCAAGAGGTCTTCTCCTATTACAGCTAGTACGCACTGTTCCAAAATTGTTCCATTCAACCCGGTAGGGTTAATTACGTAGGTCAGATTCATTATAGTTATTCCGTAAGATATATATAACTATGCTAGCCCCATTTGCGTGTCTCTCTAGTGTTATTTAATTTATGTAATTATTAATAAATAGCCAAGTTAAGGTGGTCTCCAATGATATTTGTCAATAACCCTACTTAGGAATTACACGAATGATATCTAAATCTACTTCTTAGTAGGGTCCAGCTTAATTATTTGTCCTTAGTTACTTTACTTGGCTACCAAAGAAGTTAGCCAGAATATAGCTAAACTTTAGAGAGAGTCCAAGAGAGGAAAAAGACATTGGCGCTAGTAAGATCAAGATTAATTACTTTAGAACCGTTTACCTCCTTTTAATACAAGATATGCAAGTACACAACAGTTCTAGTAGTACACCCGGACCCCAAAAAGGACCAAGCTTGTTGGGCCTCCTCCCTTAATCTAAAAAAAGGACAAGAACTCGCTCATTTAAAGAAGTTGATCCTGTTGGCCAAGGCCTACGTAAGCTTTCTGATGAGTACTGAAGGTTTCGAACTACCTATGTAACCTTACAAAAGTTACTTATTTCCTTAAACTAAGTTTTAGAGTCTTCTAATTTTAAATTCTTCTAAGGGAGCAGCATAGTAAAAACTCATTCCAACTTAATTCCATTTTATTTTCATAGGACAATGCAGTATTTTCCAAACTGGTAAAATGTTAACTTTATTAGAACCAAAGGTACTCCTGGAGTTTTTTAAATGATTCTGGTACTGTAATGGATTATAATCAAGGGGATGTGAAAATAAATCCAAGCACCATTGCCGCCGAAACTATTTTTAACCACACTTCTCCCACTTTTTTGCTAAAAAAAGTGTTCTTGACTTTTCTTCAAAATTGATGTTTTGACTAAATAGTTCAGCCGCAAACACTTTATCACCAATCTTTCCTAAACTTCTATAGTCAGTCTTAAATTTATGTATTTCGCCCCTCAATTGATTTTTTTGCTTTATAGGTAATTTGTTGTTAACAATAAATTTTATATAAACCACCATTTATCGCTTCATCGAATATCACCGGTCCAATCCAATTTTCAATTGATTTATTTCTTTGTTAATAACTTTCATATATAGAACATCAATTCTAGAGTTTCCGCTACGCTAGCCTTATTCTTTCTTCATAGTTCTTATATCTCTCTCTTAAAACGTGCTCAGTTTTGTTTTTCTAGTCCCCTTTTTTGCTCGATTATATCATCGATTTCTTCATAACACCCAATATGTTTAGTATTAGTTACGTGTAAGTAATTAGTTTTAATTTTTAATAGCATGTGCGCCGGACTGACTTAGTAGATTCGATACTTTGTTATAAGCATGAATGCATCGAACTAAGACATCCACCCATTCTAGATTTTTTTCGGGACAACCTTAACAATGCCCCTTTACTTAATATTTTTTTAAAAAAATCTGTTTATTTACGACCTCGTGCAGCAGTCTCCCACAAGATTTTTTCTCCAATTAAAAGATTATTATTACTTTTGATATGCCAATCTAAATTTTTATGTTAGATTAGTTATCATATCTTTATTAAAGCATTTAAATTTTTTTATTTTCACCTGCAACCACTACATTTATTTACTTATTTTTGATGGCTTCTACTAGTATGTCATCACTTGCTAACCTTAATAAAAGGTCAGCAATAACAATTAATCTCTTGAAATATATTTTAGGAACCAACTAAATTATTTATTATTGGTTGTACCCTAAAAATCCCCTTCTCTTCACCGTTTTTACGTCACACTCATCCTTAAAAACACCTATTAAAGCTTTGTGATCTGTTTCAACTACTAATTGTTTCCCCGCATATTCTATAATATTCATTAGTTTATTAGTGCACCGGCTAATCGCTGCAGCCTTTTTATCCGTTATATTATACTTTCTCCGAGCAACAATTTATTTAGTGGTCACAAACGCTCTACTGTTTCCTTCCTTCACAATTATAAAAAAGGGCTCGCCCCCATAACCACATCATCCCCCTGTAAAACTAGTTAGTTAACGGAAAAAATAAAATTAACGCAAATATTTCTTCATAAAATATCCATTACAACAATCTAGGCCTTTTCTGATCATGCCAAAAATTTGCTCTTTTTTTTTTTAACATTCGGCAAAAGGGTTTTAAAATAATTGTACTAATGATATGTACATTATTCCGGTAAATTAGTGCTCGCAAAAAACTCATCTCTTCTTCAGTTGCGGGCCTTTTTATGCTTTGAAGTGCCTGTATCTTTGTAACATCAATTTTAACTCTTTCACTAGAAATTTCTTGACCCAGCCATATGACAGTGTATATGATTAATTTGCACTTCTCAAGCCGAATTTAAAAATAGATAAATTATATCGACAAACTCTCTAAATGCCTTGAAGTGATCTAGCTTCGTGCTAGTAATAACTAAGCAATCATCAACATATATATGAATATTATTTAGTCTCTTCGTTATTATGTTCATCCCTTCCTGTTATTCAAACAAGGCGATGACATAATCAAAGGGACGTACAGTCCATTGATCCGTTCATCCTTCAGAGAGTGTGAAAGCAAAATACTCCAATTCTTAAGTATTTCCCTTTAGTAAAACCCCTTTGGCGGTATCCAGGCTTGTACAAATTTATCCTTTCTATTTCTTAAATTTATAAAACTTTTCAATTAACACCTTCCTTGAAGCACTGTAAAGTGAACCACACTTTTTCATGTATTTTTCTGTAAAACCGCTTATCTCCTCTTGGGTAGAATTTTTTATTTTAGGTTTCTCCACCACTACTTGCAGGTGATTCCCTTCTCGAACATCAGTAAGTTCCAGTATATATACTTTCTGTAAACGTTCACATTCTCTACTATTACCTTTTTCCTACGTCCATCTTTTATATTATATATATAAACCAAGAGGAGTTATAATTTCCTTATAGCTTGATTTTTAAGGGTATTAGCTTCAAAACACTTCTCTAAAAAAAACTTTTATTACCCGGTCCACCTCACCAATAAAGAAGAAACTGTTGCTGTTACATTTAAATCCTTTGATTCAGTGCCTTTACGATTCTTTACCCTTGAAGCAGAATTACTGGTTACAGGCAACAAATCAAATAAAGCAAAAACAGAAAATTAAGTTTTGCAGTGCAACCACGCTTTATTGCTTAGTTTTCTCCATGTTTGTAAAATAGAATTAATTTTACCAGATTAATTTTTAATCTTTTTTTTGCTTAATTTGTATTAATATGAAAAAAGGGGTCAAGATATCATTTTTAATGTGTACGAAAATAATTACTTTTGTTTTGTTTGTTTATTTGTTAAATTTCTGGTTACTGAGTGGTTTGATAACAGATCATTCTTGTAAAATTTATAGAGATCCGTATTTGATTTTCTTTTTGGTAATTTTTGTGTCTCTTGGCTCTCTTTCCCTTCTTTTATTAGTATCTATTAAGTTTCACGATCGTCTTTTAGTATATGTATGTATAAGTGATTTTTCCATGTCTATTTTGTAATGTAGGGTAATTATGATTTTTTTTATTTGTTGTTATACACCTGAAGTAAGAGTATTTGTACTGTGTATTGCTGAGTTTGTTTCTTATCAATAGGTTTGATTTCTATATTCATAGCTGGACATAGCCTCCTTGGAGGCTAATACACGTTTGTCCACCTTCCTCTCGTTATAAAAGAAATTGGCATGCATGATTTAAAAGGTTAGCTTTATTACATTAGCAAAGGTGAACAATATTTTCTAGTCACTTACAATTGTATCGACCTGGTTTGAACTGGTTTTTTCTTAAATTAGATGATTGATATTTTACCACATAAACTACAACTATACTTGAGTTCAGCTCTTGTAAAATTTAACATTTTTCGTTATTAACTAACAAAGTATTTTAAAATTGGGGAGGGTAAAATTTAGTGACTTGACCATCAGTAAACAATTAAACCGTCACTTTGCTTAGTAATTGACATTTTGGTAAAAATGGCTAAGGAATTTCGAGTGGAACTTAGATATCCTTGCCTAGGTTACACACTATTTACAAAAGTATTTATAGACAAAAAAGGTAGAGGTAGCCAATAAAACGAAGGTTTTTGGGGGAGGGAGGGGGAAGAAAAAAGAAAAAAAATTTCCATTTCAATCTCTAATGTTGTTTAGCTTTGCCAGGTAAGTTTAGTAGAAACTTATCTCGTTGGGGCCATAAGCGTGACTTACAGATTCTCCGTAGGAGGGATGGCTATCTGCAAATAACTCTAGTTCCGTCCTATTCTGTTAGGTTTTACTCTGTTTTTGTTATTTGTATTAAAAAAATAATAAAATTATTTTAACTAATAATACTACTTTTTGGTGTTACAACACTACAGTCATAATTTTAATAACGTTATATAATACCTCGTTATACTAAAAGTAAACAAGCAGAATACGCCCGTAAAATATTTTTTGAAAAGTATACTGTAAAAAGTATATTTAAAATTGGTAACCAAGTTAATAATATTGATAAGAATAAAAATTTATTAAAACCTTTAAGCTAAACAAAGTTGTGCTGAACAATTTGTCAAGGAAAACTTCAATTTTTTTAACTTAACAAGGATATAGTTTGGGGAACTCGCAATGTTTACTTTTTATACAAAACCTAAAGTACTTTAATAGTATTTTTAAGGCAAGATGGTACTTAATAAGTCTGCAGTTTTTATTTTTTGTATTAAATGCTGCATTTACGCAAGCTCAGCTAAATTCCCTTCATATAAGTCGCATTCTCACCAAGTGGACAAAAAAATATTATTGCGAAAAAAATGATAAAAAATTTAATTGTAAAGGCTTTTAGAGAAGTAAAGCAACTTGTTATAAAATTTGTTCGTTCGTTGCTTTAAATTTTCATCTTAATATTAACATAAAACTAAAAACAGAGTTACTTGCTCAGGCACGTTAAAAGGTCATAAAATATTAGTACAAATTGATAAACAGCGTAAATTATAAAATATAGTTAGTTTGGTTTATATAGCAATGGGTATTAGTGCCCAGAAGCTAAACTAATAAGGTCAATGCTTTTTTAGAAGTGGAGGCTAAAATCAAAAAGTTAGTCATCACTTTTTAATACAAAAAAAATAATATTTTTACTATTTTAGAGTTTTTTGGCTGCAGAAAGAGAATGTACAACACGCGTTAGCATATTTTAGAAAACCTTCTTTTCACGCCCTCGCGCTAAAGCTTTAAAGAGTGCTAACCACATATGGTATTTAGTATTTAACCCTTAACTTCATTGTACCTAAACTGTTTACGTATTTAGCTTTCCGACATGTAAAATTATGATTTTTGTATTATTTTCTGTAGTCACTGTTGCTATTTATTTTACTTGTCTCTCAAGCGGTGCATTCTTTTATTTGGAAAATTATACTTATTTCAGTTTCAAAGTTGGCACACCCACAGCCTTACCCACCCATATCGACGAAGTTCAACTCATTTCCACTCTTTCAATAAGTTCTGTAAATTTTCACACTGCTAAAAGTTTTTTGAGTCGCAACCATATTTCTGAAGTTAATTTACCACAAATATGCCAAGCTTACTTCCAGCAAGTGGGAGTTAAAAATTTTAAACCTGCTCCTGAGAAAACTTTTTGGTTTAACAATAAGAAAAACTCGAAAGCATCAAATATATATATATCCTGTTCAGATAAAGAGTGTTATATATCTGAGTTCAATTCAGAAAAGTTATTCCAAAAAAATTTAGTAAAACCCAGGTTGGCGCTAAAAGAAGAGTTTTTTCTCGTAAAGCAAACTTTCAAAGATCTACTTTTAAACCAAAGTTATTCTTTTCAACTATTTTTTAATTGTTATAATGGGAATTTTCATATATCAGAGTTTTTAAATTCTTCTAAAAGTTTTCTTGAATTTATACAAGCTTCGTTAGCAGTTGGCAAAAATTTTACTTTATCGCTAGTTAGTGAACCGAGTATTCCAATTAATACTTCAATTTTCGCCGTGGCCAAAGTTGCTAAAGCAAAGATAACTAATGATTATGCTGATACTTCCGGTAACTCAACAATAAAAGCTTTTGCCCTTAAAAAAGTTTATAAAGATGACTTTTGCCCTAATACTCTTCAAATATGGCGGCCCAACTCCTTTTTAAAAACTGATCTTACAGAAACTTCTGAACTTTCAAGTATTCATACGGTCATTACAGACAATTTACCTGTTAAACTTCAACGTTTAAAAAAAAATTATTTTCACGCTAATTTAAATTCTGTTATTGCTGTTTCGGGAGAAAAATTAACTAGTAGCTTTATTTTTACTTTTGTGATTATATTTTTTTTAATTCCTTTGTTATTTCTATGGTTAATTTGGATCTTTACATTTGTTTCACTTAAATTTCTTCGACTTTGTCTCACCGGAAATAACTCGAACTATCTCTCTGTGGAGGATGAATTTTTTTCTCTTATGGCCAATATTTTCCTTCTGAACTCTGAAGAGGTGAAAAGTTACCTTGAACTTTTTAAGTCAATTTTGGGACAACAATTAGAGGAATCTTTCTATGAGCTCAGCGATGAAAGTTTAGAAAAACGCTACGAAGTGCTAAAAGCCAAAATGAATCTATATGATACTTCCGAAGAAATTCGTATGTTTTTTTTATCTAAGTAACTTATACGAGTTTCACCCCAAGTTATTAGATTGTGATTCAATAAAACGAAGTAAAGGTTCTTTTCAAGAAAACTTGTAATTTAATTTATTAAAATTTTGAATCTTCTATTGTTATCAATCTTTCTGTTTGGTAGAAGTTTAGATAATTGTGCCTCGCTGGACATACCAAGTTTTAAAGTTCTTGTTTTTTTTTGAATCTTGTTATAATAATAAAGTAACTTTTAATATGCTGAATATTCTTAGGACCATCAATCTTGTCCTCCCCTGAAAGAAATAATTGTTACTAAACTGAAGCAGAAATATGATTATAATCTACAACTAGACGAGATTTGCTTTTTTTTTACAGAGATTTTTAACAAATCTGTTGTAACTAAAGAAGAAATCATTTTTATTTATGAAGTAATAAAAATTATAATGGAGACAGCTAATTCTTTTATTTTACGAAATTATAAAGACTTGTCTACATATAAGCTATGCAAAAATGAAATTTCTATTAAAGACCCTAAAAAATTTGGAAACTTACTAAGAATAGAAAACGAAAACCTTTTGAGAAAGTTAGAAAAAAAAGATGATGCGTTGATTTCTCTTCGTCGAGGTTATGAAGAATTAAAAATTAACTTTGAAAAAAAATCTGAGGAAGTTATAATTCTGCAAAATAATATTCGTGAGAAAGTTATTAATTTGCAAGCGAGTAGTAATCAACTTGAACAAACACAACTTTTAGTTGATCGATTAGAAGCTGATTTGGAAGCAGCGACTGCTCGCCCTTCACTTTATACTTCAGAAGAGTCGCAAAAAAAAAAAGTTGAAGAGTTTGAGATTCTCTTAAAACAAAAGGAAAACGAGATTGTAGAATTAAAAGAAGAGCTTGAAAATCTTATACGGAAAACAAATGCTCAAAGCAAAAATTTGAGTGAATTGTCTTCTTTTATTGATAATTTGAACGATCAGATCAACAAGAAAAACAATGAAGTGGATGAGCTGACTGTGAATTTAACTCTTCAGCGTAAAAAGTTATCGGAGCTAAATGGTGTAGTAGAAAATTTAGAAACTCAGCTTCATCAAAGAGATACGGACTTGGAAAATCTGCAATTATGTTCAAACGAAAAAGCGGAAGAAATTAGATTGTTAAATGAAAAATTGCAACAGCGAGATGAAGACTTTCACAATCTGGCCATCTCTAGACAGTCAATAAAAAGTCAACTTCGTGATAAAGAAATTGAAGTAAATGAAATAAAACAATTAACTGAAAAATTTAGCGGATTAACTTCCAAGGTGAAAAAGGAACAATTAACTGAAAAAGAAAAAGATAATTTAATTAAAAAGGAAATAATTGATTTAGAAAAAGTTAGCTCTACTGTAACATCTGAAGTAGAGATATACTCCTTTGATAATAGTAGTAAAGATTTAGTAATAGATATTTTTAAGGACCAACAGTCGTCTTACGAGGTTACTACTAGTTTATGTAGTATACTAAACGCGCATAAAAATAACTTTTTCTAAATTTTTTTAGAAGCTAATTGATAAAGAAATTACTGTTAATTTTAATCTTGGTTCTGCTGTTGAGCAAAGAGATGATGTTGAGCTACTTGCTAACGAAATTCGAGAGATTAAAAAAATGTGTAAGGTAGCTATAGTTAAATATTTCTTTACCGGTATTGATATATTAATATAAAAATTGCACAGCTATTGGAACAGGAAAATGAAAGGCTAATTCGCGTTAACAAAAAAAATTACCAATTTAAGGCCGAGACTATCTCTACGGAAAAGGGCAAGTTTTTGTGTTATAAAGATGTAATTAATTAATTTATAATACAATTTTTTTTATTTATATGAACTACTTAATAAAAAAGATGAAAGTGTACTTGAAGGGATTTGCAAGGATGCTGTGCAATTTAATACTAGTACTTTAGAGAGTTTGAAACAGAAACCAACAGGAGCGAACTACCAACCTAAGGGAAATCAACTATACTCAAAAAATAATAAGGAAAATAGCGTTTCTTTAAAAAAAAAGAGCAAAGTGGAAAGGAATGGGGCTAACGATAACTCTAAAGAGGATTGCAACTTTTTGAAAGAAGTACAAAGGGAAAACAATAGAGGGAACTATAGAGAGAATCTTCAGCCCTTTTTAAGAAAAGAAAATTTAAATAATACTAATAATAACCACTTTAAAAAAATTGGCTCTAACAGAATTGACGTTTGTAAAATTGATCCGGACTTGGGCACTGTTTCAGAAGATGAAGCATATAGTAAAGGTAGTTATAGTTCTAAGACTGTTTCCTTTGATGGAAAGGATCCTAAAAAAGAAAATAATTTACAAAAAGGTACTTTATACTTGTAAAAGTGTTTTTTATTATGAAAACAAGAAAATTCTGTTTTTATATAAGTGACAGTAATCCGTACGAAAAGTAAAGTTACCCCTCCGAAACCACTGAGCGCTTTTACACAAAAAATTATGGAAGAATAATTTTTTTTTTTTTGTTAACAATAAAAATGGGAACCATATTTACATTTTATATCGTTCCTATTATAAAGGTTGATGTTCTCCTTTTACCCTTCCCCTTCCGGTATAAAGCCCACCTTCAAAATCTTTGTAGATTTATATTTTTGTTGTGAAGCAACGTCATAGTTTAAAACTTTCACTTCTTTAACTTTAGTAAGAGATCCAGAAGGTTTTATTTATAAACTAATAATAGCTTTGTACAAAGAGAACTGCCTTAACTATAAGGTTTTACAATATTGCTGTTAGGGCCCCTCAGAGAGTACTCTCTGAATAAAAATCAATCCATACTATTTTAAAAAAATTATTACTACTCTTACAAATTAAGTTACTCAATTTTTTGGAAACTAGTTTAAAAAGAGAAATTTAATGCTGATTTTATAAAGTCAGTGAACCCAACTCGTTAACAATTTGCCTACTAGTAACTAACAATGTGTTGCGTAGATCTTGAGAACGAAAGCGAAAAAGGAGTACAACGAAAAAGATGACATACAGAGACAGACTGTATTTATAACTTTAAGAACGATACTTCATTTTTCAGTGTTTGTATAGAAAAATAGTAAAATACTTTTTTCTCATTACTGTTATACATTCGCAGCGTTATTAATTTTAAAAACTAAAATTTATTGGTGTAGAACACTAAAGTTGCAGGTTTATAGGTTTTATATCTTGAAGCAAAAATTTTGTTAAAAAATTATTCTGTTCCGTTCGTAAGTTTGCGGGTCTGTTAAATAGATTTCGATTTAGTGTAATAGCCATTTTTCTAAACTTTGTAGTTTAATTTACTTTCTTGCTAAAGAAATCTTAGTAATGTTTAATGTTTACGTTGACAAATTATAGTTCACTTTAGTTTACTTTTGGATCGCTTATATATGAATGAATTCCTAATAAAAGTAAAGCCCCTCAAAGGGAAGTATTTTTTCCCTGGTGAATATTTTAGCAGTAATTTGGAATTATACAATTCTTCTGTAATTTACATATGTTATATACAGCTATTTTTAGCTTTAAAAAAAAAACTTTCCACTTAATTAGAACACTTCGGTTTTCGTAGAATGCGTCACTTGTTTTTTGGAAAGTAAAATGCTTTATAGTACAAAATATATATCAATCGAAAAAAAAAACCTGCGAGGTTGCCACGACGCCTATACTTAAAATAAGCTTGTTAACTTTAAAACTGACTAGAAGCTGCGACTGTTTTTGAAGCTCAGGGACTTTCTTCTTCTCAGTACGCTTTGGAACCAGCAGTAAAAGAGAGAATAATAAAATTATCTTTAGATTTTGAGCATTATGTGAAACAAATGTCTGTAAGCAAGTTGCAAAGTTTTTCTATCTTCCAATCCCCTTTACAGGTAACAAGTCTTTTTTCAAAACTTTATTTAATCTCTCTTATTTTACTGCTCATACCTTTTTTATTACTTTAAGATTTTCTTTAAAGCAGTTTTATTTAAACCGCTCGAGAAGAAAAGTTCAGTTATCAGGATTCCAATTCCTTTACACTGCCCCCCATTTATTCGCACCAACGCATTTACCTTTGTCTGCCAGCTTAAAATTTCAGGTTCAATACAAGTTTGAAATTGAAATTGAAATTTAATAATAATATACTTATTTTAAAAAAGTTTTTATTAGCAACGGACCAAAAATACCTACATATACAACTGTACCTTTACGGATCTATCCGTTGCTCGGTTTCCTACTCTGAAAATTTTTAAATTACAACTTTGTTATAATTTGTATAATAGCTTTAACAGTAAATTTTACAGATCTGTTCGAGGACAATAATCATTTTACTTTGAGAGAATCCTTAAGTTTTGGTAATAAAAAGATTTTATATAGTTCACAACAAGTTTACCACGTTTTATAAGTTATTTTATTTCAATACTTAATTTTTAAGATGGAAAGTAGATACTACTGAAAATTCACCTACTTTCTCTTTTAAATTATTTTAAAGTACGTTAAGAATGATATATAGGAAGTTAGTAGAAGCTATAAGCAGTAGTGTTTTTGCTATGTGCCTTAACTTAAAATTTAAATATAAACGCCTTAAGATTTTTTATCTCAAATTTCACTGGCATCACTTTTCTTTTAATATAAAATTGTAAATTCACTTTAGGCAGTTAGTTTGTAAAACACTCTTACTGAAGATTGATTTAAAAAAAATTTATAAAATCTCTTAAAATTCACTTGCTTTTCCTATAGTCGAGGCAAGGTTTATGTTATATTCATTAAGATTTAAAAGATGAGGGTTTTTCGTTTATGGAGGGCAATACTGCTATAATTCACTGGTAACAAAACAAAAATTAACTGCAACACCCGCTTGATAATGACGTCTCGAAAATTCATACAGTTTACGCAAGGCAGGCAGTTGACATAAGAGTTATACTAGCTTGCCCACTTTTTACTAGTAAATGTATAGTAACAAAATACTGGTATATACTGTTTAGGAAGGGAACACCCCTATTATCCGTACGCCCACGAAATCCTACTAAAGAAATTTTTTAACTTTTCTAATAATCTCGACGCTGGTTTTGAATATGAGCTGCCTTTTTTAAAGGAAAGTCCAGAACAGAGTCATTATTTCCCTTCTCAAAAGCATTCCTTTATTTATTTATATTAAAATAGATCCTAATTTTATTATATAGCCTTGTATAGTTGAAGAAAGATCTGCTAAACAAAATCAGGAAGTGAATGAAGACGACATATACGATGAGTTAACACAGAACGCTTATTTCAGGCTCCCAATATTATAAAAACTTTTCCTTTAGTTCTTTATTTAATATTTCTAAAGAACTAACAAACTGGAAGAACTTGCTACGAATTTGCAAGACAGTTATGATGACCATATCAGCCAATACCGTGAGAATGAAGACTGGTTTTATCCACTTATCTGCTCACATTCTTTTTAACCAATAAAAACGGTTTTCTATGTGATGTATTTTAAAACAGGATTCTAAGTGGCTTTTTAAGGGTAAGCGACCTTGAAAAGTATGGTTAGCGAACTATACTTTACTATAGTTATTAAATAATATTTATCCCATTTTCTATACTGTAGTAAAAGATCAACTGCTCTCTTACATTTCTCGCATCGCTTCTTTGCACGCTCTTTGCCATAAAAAGAGTATTTATTTAGGAGTAAATGCTGATATATCGTTTTAGTAACGTATTTTTGCTAGACTTATTTAAAATTAAAAGAGAAGGAGAACTTTTATGTTGCATTTTTTTTCCAAAAACTTTTTGGAGGTTTTCCTTTAATTTATTAATTAAGGCATTTTCTTACTTGTCTTGTAAACAAATTTTTTTAAAATTATTAACGCTTTAAAAGTTAAAACCCAATTAAATTTTTTAGTAAAAATTTAAATAAATTAGACTAGGTGAGGATATATACTTTGAAGTGAACTTCTCTGAAGCAGTTATAAAATGCTATCGAGTAAATACTCGTTATAATATTTATACGATTGAGGATTCATAAATAATATATTATCACAAGATCACCATTTATTTATGCTGCCAATCATCAGTCAAGCAAAATTGTAGAAAAGACCGCGTTGATTATGACTGGCTCTGCCAGCGTAAAGTAAAACATATATTAGTTTACTTTTTTAAAAAGTAACTCTAAAAATGGGTTGTTGCCGAGCACCACGAGTTTACAGTGAATACTTTGAAGACACATGTGCTGTTAAGAGTGCCATTGACTCATCCTCCCACCTTTAATCACGTGTTTGGTTTCTTTTAGATGAAAATTATTTATTGAATGTTACGTACTTTTGTTATATAGTAGAGCAAAAGTGGTGGATTTCCGCCGAGTTTTTATGCGATGCCAAAGGTCGAACAAACCCGGTGGTTAGTAGCGGTGTCTTAACTGCGAACAAATGTTTTGAGCTTCCAAATCCTGGGGAAATTCTCGCAGTGGAAAAGGAAGTAGTTGACGAGCTTATAAAAGGTTACATAGTTTATTTATGCTCAGTGTGGTCCATATTAGAAATATATTTCGTTTTTTTCAATACAAAAAAAGATATACAGTATCAAGCACCAGCTCGCTACGAAGTATCGGTGCTACAGTGGAAAAGACCTATAATAGTTGTTTCACCGAATCCCGCCTCCATCGAAAGGAAACCTGTCGAGTCTATTAAACTGACGATACCTTTGTAGAAATATCAAAGGGAGTATAAGTTTCTCGTCATGTAAACATAATAAATGTAATAACAAAGTAGAGTAGCTTTCTCTTTTGTAATTGGGGTTAAATATAAATAACACTTAATATTAAAACAAAACCACCACCAAAATATAATATTATAACAAAATATATACATAAGAACTTAAAATTTTTAAACTATTAATTTTCATAGTATACTAGCTTATACTAGAAATTCCCATTTTAATTTATGGAGAAATATCTTCATAATAATTTCTTTATACACATTAACATGTATTTAAAAACGGTATACAACTTTTGATAAAACAACTAATCAAAAAAAAATAAACTATGACTAATATACCGAAAATATTTTTATCATGCGCATGAACTTTAACAATATATCAGTAATGGATAATCTTAAATATCTGATGAAGGATTTAAAGTAATATTAAAAAAAATACAAATTTAGTTAAAATTACTTTAGCAAAAGTTTATAAATAAACTAATAGAATAGTGAAAAAAGTCAATTATAGCCGATTTTACTCTTTTTTCTTAGTGTTATTCGTTTCCTCTATACTTTTGCTCTTAAAGTTTAGCGTTTAACTCGCGAAGAATTGGTTCTTTTATATTTTATATATATAGTAAAGAGTTTTTAATCAGTAGCGTAAACAGCAAGCATACGACTGTGAAGCTTTACTGGCGTTGGCGATTTGGTTCAATTTTAAAAAAAAATTGCTGCTTTAAGGAGACCTCAAATACGAAAGCTAACTTATAAATTGAAAGAGAGTGTCGCTATAGACTGCGCTTGCTCTTATTGCAAGCTTAATTCACTGTAAAAATTTGTCTTTAGCTCGTTAATCATAAGATTTTCTCTACTGCCTAGTAAGAACAACTTCTTAACTGCTTACTTAAGACAAACACAAAAGACTAATAATCAGTACTTACACTTTCCCCACTTCTATACTTATTTTTGGGTTGTAATCATACAAGAAAAACGTATTATATTACTATTAAAATTATTTAATATTTTTAAAATTACGAAACTAAACTACCTATAACAGCTTATCTTTCAGGAGCCAATATTCTGTACACTAACTATATAGAGCGTGACTAAACAGGTAAAGGTATTAGCCTCCGGAGTACAAATTTCAAACACTTGATCTTTATATTATTAGAAGTTTATAATATACCTATATAAAAATTATAATTAATTTTATTAATATAATTTTTTTCCTGCAAAACCTTGAAGTTAATCTACATTTTTTAAATGCCGGCTATACTTCACTCACGCGATTTAATGCTGTACTACAGGGTGGTTAGTATAACTTAACGAGACGCCTATGAAGATAGCAAGCGCCACAATTCTACTCTTTGGAAGTAGGAAACTTAGGAGAGCTAGGCAAAGATGCTTATTATAAAAAAGGTAACAGAAGCCTATTTTTAAATGGTAAGCCTTATATATCTGTTTGAGTATTTAAAGCACTAAAATGATTGTGCCTGCAACTATAATTAGTTTGACCAAAGAAATAAAAGCTTGGTGATGCAAGCTAAACCATAGATTATAATAAACGAGGATTTCGGTATGATGGTCAGCTTTTGGCAAGAAGTCAGAGTTTTAAGGCACTGCAAGATCCCCTCTGCTTTTTCCTGGCCCTCGTAAGAGAGGACTCCGACACTCGTTATTAGTTTAGGTTCAACTAGTTGACCCTAAAAATAATGCCTCAATCTTTTTGGTCAATTAATTTACTTCCACTTTAAAGAAGTTTAACCCTTCAAGGTAAGTGCTGTTTAGAAGACTAAAATATTTAAGTAATAATTGCATCCATAATGAACGTAAGTGCACCCGTCTATAAGCCGTGTGCCCGATTAATACGTAATTTGAAGTGTTGAGATTTTCGGGAACTCTAACGAGAAATAGCTTTTTACCCTTTTCACGGATAAAATGTCAAGGATTATCTTTAGTAACCAAACTATTAACCTAGAAACTCCATAAACTTAACTTATCTGCCTTTACGAAGTAACCCATACCCTAACATTTTTCAGAGTTTTTAAACGTGTACCTTTTTTTCAAATAAATGAAGCCCATAATATAAGGGCCAACCTTTGTCGAGATTACTAAAAATTTAACTATTAGGATTTTGCGCTCTTCTATTCTAAAGTGAGCTCAGACCATAGTCTCTTTATCTTAAGTAAGGTTTTCTACGGCATTGCCCTGGTTAAATCTTGACTAATCAAAGTGTCTGAAATAGCTAATATAATAAGCTAGGATAAACACCCCTAACGTTGTGGAAATACTGCGATGGAAGTTTTATAGTTTAGTTCATTAAATGTTGGAGGAAAAGATATCAAACTAGTTCAATTCTAGTTAACATTAGTAATACTCTTGGTACTTCCTTTACGAAAAAGGAAGATAACTTAGAGACGCATCAAGATCTCACCAATAAACTAATCCTCCATGCACTTTAATTAGAACTAGATTACTACAAGACGGTAGGATAGTCTAGATTCGAAGGATGGTTATAAAATTTATAAACAAACCTTGTTAAAGCCGGCAAAGAGACAGAGAACGTAAAACTTCCTATCTAAAGGCTAAAGTCTACTTTGATAGAACTAAACTAACTAACTAACTAACTAGCGCCCAGAAATGCAACTTTAACATTCGTAAAATCACTGGAATCATCACAAATCCCTTGTTATAAATATGATTACCTTGCGAAATAAAAAATGCCATTCTTATTTTACTGACTGTCAGTACTGTTTTTATCAGGAAAAGTGGTATCTTGCATAAAACTGCTGAAACCCTCTTATAAGAGGGAGAAACTTTGTTTTCTTCTCTAGAGGTTCGCGCCTGTGCCGGCGCTATGAGCCTCATCTCTTAAGCGCTCCTATTTTAACCCCAATGCTCGTTTGCGCCAGGGCGTCCTTTGCTGGCCTATGACCCCAGCGACTAAGTCCTGTTTGGGGTACTTTCTTATCCAACCAGGCGACTGCGGCCTGTTGGGCTTTTAGTGGTAGCCTCAAACACGACCGTTAGCTTCAATTTTAAGGTCGGGGCACCAGCATTGTACACTCTTCATGGAAGTAAGGATTCCTGTTCCGTCCCCAGGTTCATCTTTCGTACAAGCGCACTAAAAAGGCCGTGCTCATATATAATATTCATGTCCGACTTGAACGTTAGTCCTCGCGGGCCCCCGATGGTTTCGATCTAGGGATCTCAAAAGGTTGCCGCCCATTGGTGGAATTCAACGTAAATATAACAATATCTATCTCGGGTCATGTCACCCCTACCGTTTGAAGAGACTTACTTTGATTTATAGCTAACGCAGCTTAAACAGATCACTGTAATGATTACAAAACCTTAAGACCGTGATTATGGTACCTTTTGGAGTTCAGCTCTGTTGTGGGGGTTGCGTGGTACTACGGGAAGCTCAAGGGCCTTGACTGGTCGTGT